TCAGTCAGTTTTAGGGGGCGGATCTGAGATTAGGATGAGCCCAAAAGCTTATCTAATCTGCAGATAGGATTAAGAAGAGTCCTAATCCAAATACATATTTGGATAAGGGCAACTCCTGATATGATCAGGAAATCTTTTCTTAATCATTAAGCAATTGGAGGAAACCCTATTCGAATAACAAGATATCGAACCCTAGGGACACGGAACACACCCTGCAGTTTTGTGAGATAGGATCTCAGAAATCCTAGAGAAGAAAAGCAGTTCACCACCTTCTTCTCTAGTTTCCTTCTGTTGCAGCCGCCACCTTCTGTTACAGTTCGTTTTCTCTGTCAGAGAAAGATCAAGAAAAGTTCTTGATATCAGTCTTTGTTGAAAGGCTGATTCGGTTTGGTGCTCATTGTCATCCAAAGGATTCTTGTGAAGGATTCAGTGTGTAGGACGCACTCTGCTAGTTTTGTTCCACAGTTGTTGTGTCATCTTCAGCAGGAGCAGATCTTGGTGCCTTCTTTGGGCGTGAACACCAACTTTGGGAGATATTATTTCTCTGGATCAGGTATAACCACTCCCTTCTCTTTTGGTTCAGATCTGGTTTGGTTCTGGTTCAAGTAGGATCCTTGAATCTTGATTCTAAAATTAGGGAATGCGATTCCCAGTTGAAAGGTAGGTAGAAAATTTTTGAAATTCGCCCACCCATTCCGCAACTATTTTGGCGTCCATACAATGGATTCTACCATCCCTTTCACTTGCATCCTACAGTATTTTCCATTACTTACAAGTTTGAACCATTCCCCATTGCCATTAGCTCACTTTTATGCATATTGACTTTCAGGCTAGAGACCACTTCAAACCAAACCAAAATCATTCTGATTTTTTCCACCTGATTTTCTGCCGCATTGACAAAGAAGAGAGTATCATCAGCGTACTGCAGCAGTGCTACCTCCACTTCTTGACCCACCTTGAAGGCTTGAAGCCTTCAAGTAATCCTCCTTCCACTGTCTTATTCAGCATCATACTTAGGGCTTTCGATACACAAATAAATAGTAAGGGAGAGAGGGGGTCCCCTTGCCTTAGACCCCTTGAGCTCTGTAATCTGCCTACTGAAACACCACTTACCAAGATAGAGAAGTTGGCTGTTGTTACATACACCTTTCTCCAATTCCTCCACCTCCTCCCAAAGTTGACCCTTTTAAGCATGTAATCCCAAAACTCCCAATTTACATGGTTTTACGCCTTTTCCATGTCCACTTTGAGCAATACCTCCTCCTCCCCACTTCTTCTTTTGGAGTCAATGAGTTCATTTGCCACTAAAATGCCATTGATAATTTGCCTCCCATCTACAAGTTCTCCCTGAGATTCTGATATTAGTTTTCCCATCATCCCTCTCATTCTTTTAGCCAACACCTTTGCCACCACTTTATAGACACTACTAACAAGGCTTATTGGTCTGAAATCTTTCAAGCCCACCACCCCTTTCTTCTTGGGAATTAAAGCCAAAAAAGTAGAGTTTGGACTTCTTTCGAATGTCCCATTCTGATGGAACTCCTGGAAAACTTTCATCTGGACCTGGTGCTTTGTCACCTTCCATTTCCTCAATTGTGGCTCTTCCTCTTTTGAGAACACTGCTTCCAGTTGGTTGGCCTCAAGCTGAGAAAGACTCTTGAAAGGTAGCCCATCCAGCTTTGGTCTTCTTCTCCACCCTTCTTTTTAGATATTTTTGAAATAATTAGTTGTTGTTTGTCTGATCCTTTCTTCCCCTTCAATCACCTCCCCCCCCCTCCCCCCCTTCCTCCAGCTTCTTAATAGTATTAGTTCTCCTTCTGCCATTTACCATTTTATGGAAGAAAGCTATGTTTTTACCCCCCTGTTTTAACCATGGATATTTGGAGCGTTGTCTCCACTTAATAACTTTTCAGCTATAGCTTGAGGCATGCTTAACACCGACAGGTAATAGACTGGAAAGTTTGCTAGAGTGGACTTAATAAGTGTTATCCTACCCCCAAATGATATATAATTCCTCTTCCACACAGCTAGTTTCTTTTTAAAACTTCTCCACTACCAGATTCCAAAAAGTCAAGGATCTAGGATTGGCACCAAGAGGAAGTCTTAAATATTTTAGAGGCCAAACACTTGATAAGAACCCTGGTTCCCTAGTCCATAAATCTAATTCCTCCCCCAAATTGATTCCATCAACCACACTTATTAAGATTCACCTGTAGGTTTGGCACTTTCTCAAACATACTCACCAACAGCGTTAGATTCCTAGTTCCATTCCCCCTCATTTTTGAAAAAAGAGATAATGTCATCTGCAAGCTGTAAATGAGTTACCACCACACTATCTCTTGAGGTCTTGCAAAAAAATAGACCAACCAAGCCTTTGTACTTTGCCTCCCATGTGTTTCCTCCATAGAGAAAGTGGTGAAACCACTCCAACTTGCTTGTCTCCTGCTACAGTTCTTGTATTTGGGAATCCAATTTTCCTTGTTGTACTGTGGGTGTGATCCTCCATATAGTGTGGGAAGGCTGTTCTAGGACTCTTTCTTTAACCATTCAAAAACAGAGAAGGAAGATCCTATGGACATATGCTAGAGATATTGTGCATTGGGCTGTTCGGTAGGAGAGGAATGGAAGGATCTTGAAGGAAATAATTAGTTCAATAAGATGGTAACAAACAGCATGTTATATTGATAAGGGTAGCTTATTGGGTCAAAACATTACCTCTATTTGTCCCATTCTCCATGGATGACATATTGAAGGGTAGGCAATAACTTGTTATTCGAAATTTCCTGACGAGCATTTAATTAAACTAAATTTTGATGGGAGTAGTGTAGGGTATCCTGGAAGATCAGGCATTGGTAGGATGCTTATGGACATTATTGTAGTGATCTTAGCATTGTTTTTCAGGGAATATAGGTCAAGGAGACTAATCAAGGGCAAAACTGCTGGGTTTGCATCAAGGTTTATTTATATCTGGGAAAGTCTCTAAATTTTATGGATATTCTGGTGTATGGTGATTAACATATAACTGTAGGCATTTTAAGGGATGTGGCACAGGGGAATCTGTAAAACTAAATAAATAGAAAGGGTGTAAATGGGAATGATAACTAAGGCTACCTAGGGACAATTGAGATGTTTGGAACTTATTCCTTGGTAATACTAAACATTCTTTATTACAATAAAGTTGATTGTTATTTGTCAGAAAAATTAATGAGGATATACTTCATCCATGGCCCTTAGTTCTGTTTGATGCTGTTAATGGCTTGGCAAATTAACAAGGTTATAGTTTAGGCTTCGATATTCTTGTATCATTTGTATTTTGTCAAAGATACGATATACTATGCATCCCTGGAGATCAGCTGTTTATTGAGATCAAATAGCTAGGTAAAATATTGAACCATTTGACTTATTTCCTGAATAATCTACTGGCTTTCCTTCAGGATTTGTAATGTTATTAATGAGGATGTACTTCATGCACGGGTTCCTTTTGTTGCACGAACACAACAATGTTTTGCTGTGAAGGCTGGCATAGATGGGCTTCTGGATGTTGCAAGGAGATTATTTTGTGATACTAGTGAAGGTGTTAGAACCCTAAGAGTAACTCATCTCTGTTCTTTTAGATGCTGTACACTTGAATGCTAATCAACATTGAAATGGCAGCTGTACATAACCTTGCAAACAAATACCGTGAAGAATTCAGTCTGCCAAATTTGAAAATTCCCTTCAACAATAGGCAGGGGTTTTACTTTAGCATTCCACATAAGGATATAAGTGGAAAACTTCCTGGAAAATTTATTCAGGTTGTGGATATGATCATCATTTCTATTCATTTTTATATACATATATCTTAATGACTCTGGCTAAAGTCATATATTTTTGCAAGATGATACCAGGTCTTGAAACATGGGAGCCACATACATTGCTCAACTCTTGAACTTGCTTCAGTGAGAATTCTGATAATCTGAGATTCTCTCTCTCTCTCTCTCTTTCTCTCTTTCTCTCTCTCTCTCTCTCTCTCTCTCTCTCTCCGTGTGTCTGAATTCACCGGTTTTGAGGCCTCCCTTTAAGCTGTGGTTTCAAAATCAAAATGAAAATAACACTGAATGAATTGCTACGATGTTATATTCTGACATTGTAAGCATAAAGCTCTTGGATCTTTGTAGTGGTAAAACCTATCTTTTAAATCCAATTAGAATAGCTACAATGTTTAATTCTGAATTCTTTTTGTTACTTTTGTAGTTTCATTTGCTAATATTCATTTTTTACATCTGGTTTCTACTATAACCATCTTTCATTGGTAACTCACTATCAGACCTGTTCAGGGCCGGGCTCGGGCTTGGCTTTTGTCAAAATTCTAATGGGCCTGACCTGAAGCTCGAGCCCGAGACAGTGTAAAATTGGGCCCGAAGCCCGGCCCCTGAACAAGTCTACTCACTATAGCCACCTTTATGATTTGGATGACAATGTCGGCTTTCAGAAGACATTTGATGTCTTGGTAAAAAAAGTTGTGATTTGAAAATATTTTTTGATAGGTGTTGTTTTAAAGACATTATAGTTGATTTCTTTTGTATCCTATGTTCCACATCACCTCCCTTTCTTGTTCAGATATAGCATCAATCTGGGAAATTTTAATAAGAACTGAAGATGAAAGTAATTGGGAAATTTTAATCCTAAAAGAACTCTAAAATGCTCTATGGTTCCTATATTTTTAATATGGCTTATTTAAGTGAACTACTCCACCATTAAGTGGGACCCCCGGGCCAACATCAACATGATCGGATGATGGCAATTATGTATTTTTGTTTCCTTTGGCAGATGGAGAATCTAGTATTTCTTGTATCAAATCTGGAAGTTCCACCCTTTTGGAGTCTTTGTAAATAACCTGCTATGCCTAACTCCCCCTAGATTCTTATAATTTGGAGCTGTGGATGCATCTATCATGAACACTCCCCTTACTCTTAACTCCTCAAGAGGCAACAAATCACTAGGAGTGATGTTTCTTGTTGTGGCCTGTGGATAAGGCTACAATATTTTACCATCCTCTAATTTGTTGAGAATGGTTTAAATCTGTCTGATGTCTTCACCTAATAAGCTACTTTGACAAATATATTCTTGATCACAACCTCCTTGGTTTTGGCCTTTTCTTTAAAAATTCCTGTATTTCATTCATCCTACATTGTCCAAAGTGTTGTGGCCCTTGTGCATGTCAATGGGATCTTGCCCCTTTTCTTTGGCAATGAAAAGAATGATGCCTTGAAGAGACTATGTACCCCTATTGGGTGGGGGATTGGTCCACCTACAAACAAGAAGAGAGAAAAAATTCCAAATGCCAAAAGGTGCGAGAGATTAGTAAGTTGTAACTAGTAAGTAGTCTTGTAATTTGCTTTATTACATAAAAGCATGCTTTTGGTGATAGGTGCCACCTTGATTTTCTTTATATGTAGAACTTAATTGTATTGATATTCAATGATATATCATGTACCTCCCAATAAAAAGCTTTATCTTTGGTGGTTCTGCCTCTTTTATTGAAAGGTAAAGATATAAATTTCATTAAAATAAAAAAGAAAATACATAATAAAGGTGATAAGATATCACCCAAGAGAGGCATGCTACATACTCCTGGGACAAAACAGCCCAATAAGAACAACAATTAGTACTGAATAAAAGCATTCCAACTCTTTTCTCCAACTTCAGAAGAAACAAACTTTCTAGGCTTCACCCAAAAAGAAGAATTATTCCTCCCCATCTAACTCATTCTCTTGTCCCTCCCCTTCACCCCAAACTACTTCTTCTTCCCCTGTTACATCCTCCTAAAACCTCTCTTCCTTCTTCCTTCTCTTGAACTCTTTCAAAGGCCTTTTTGGGAAAAGCCTCACTACCCCAAAAAAGCAAACCTAGAGCCTTGCCAATCTCCACTTCTCTCTCAACCTACTTCCTTAAACCTCTACTACCATCCTTCTTATCCTCCCCCTCTAAACTTGACTTGGTCTTCTTTCCCCAACTCTTTGCACTCTCCCCCCCTTTCCTCCACAACTCCACTCCTCTCTACCACCCCTCTTGAAGGACGTCCCTCAGGCTCGATTTGGTCATCACAACCAACCCCATCAAAGTTCTTAATGGTTGTGGCTCTCACATTAACCCCTCTTCTCTTAAATACTCTCTTGTATTTATTACTGGGACCAGCCCCAACAAACCCCTCTTTTAAGCATGAAGTAACCTCTATAACATGTATGAGATGGGATATTCACTCCTCTAGGACTATTCACTTCCATCACCAACTCTTTGGCTGAACTTGCATCTCCAACCTCCTACCCAAATCAACTCCAATCTTTCCAGTTAAAGCTTATACTAAATGGACCACCACAACAACTTGATCAGACAAACTTGTGAGATTGCTTCTAGAGTGAACAGTTGTGCCAAGATCTTAAGCCCTAACATCCTGGACCCCTTAAGAATTTACCTTACTAAATGATTCCCTATCTTCATTAATCAAGATAGAAGTACCTGGCTCTGGCACAAATGTCACACCAAACGTTGCCTCCTCCCCCAGAAGCAAACATTCATCATGCTATTTCCACTAGGTTTATTTTTTGAAATGCTATAGAGTTGAGAAGGAGAGGGGAGAGCACAAAACAAATTCTCTACTAGAGATGAGAATGAGCATCTCCTGGCCCTTATCGCATGTTATTTCTTTCATCAGAATCCACACTATTTCTTATTGCTCCACTTCTGTTGCTGCATGATGAAACTCCAACCTTAATATCACCATTCCTCTGCCTAGTGCAAGGATTAAAGTATCGATACGATACTCCCGATATGGGGCGTATCGCATCCGTATCCATGGTCATGGATACAGAATATGTCACAATTGGGTACATATCTCATGAGTCATGCGTATCAGAACGATACTCCTCTTTGTCTGGCCATATCGCATTGTATCGGTGGATACAGTCTGATACGCATAGATACAGAAGCATGTCCGTGCCTAATTTGATAATACTGTATATTAACTACTTTTGGATTGTCTTTCATCTTTAATAAAAATTAAAAATTATAATTATAAAAACTGAAAAAAAATAATTTAAGATTTAATTTTTCCAAAAAATTTAATACAAACAAAAAATTATAAAAATAATATATTTCATCTACCTTAAATGATTTATATATTTTATTTTACACATAATTATATGTTAAAAATGAAAACATGGTTATTATTTGAAAAAAATAGTTATTATATAAAAATACTAAACAAATGAACCTTCCCAACAAAATTAATAGAAAAAAGAAAATTATAACTATAAAAACTGAAATGAATAATTTAAGATGTAATTTCCCCAAAAAAGTTAACAAAAACTGAAAATTGTAAATAATTTATTTTATCTACCTTAAATGATTTATATGTTTTATTTTATAATTATGTTCATAATAAAACAATTATATGTTTAAAATGAAAACTTATTTATTATTTAAAAAAGTTACTATTTATGTAAAAATACTAAGTTAATAAATATTCCCAAAAATTAATAAAAATTGAAAATTATATTTATAAAAATTAAAGTAGAGTGATAATTATTGTATGATGTTTGAACGTTCTAGAGTTATGGTATTGTTGATTCTAATGTTTCTCTTCATATAACCTATTGAAGTATGCATTTTTCATGTGTTTATACATCATTCATAGATAATTCAGTTTTTGATTTAGTATTATTAATGTATTTATGTGATTTGTATGCATTTCCCTAGCGTATCCAAGCGTTTCTATATCTTTTGTTCGTATCCATGCGTTTCCAAAGCGTATTTGTATCTACATCCATATCTGACTTGTTCGGTACGATACCTGATACCGATACTTTGATCCTTGGCCCAGTGTTGCCATACTTGGTAATCACCCAAACCTATTCTTCCTCCTCACCCCTTTTATTCTTGCTCACACCCCTCTCCCTGTTTGGAAGCCCCAACCTCTTATCCATTCTTGGCCTTTTAAAATTACAATCCCTCCCTTTCCAAACCCTTAATGCTCTCAATTGAATGGCCGGGCAGGCCAATTTTGGCTTAACAAATTAGTCCCCACTAAAACCACCAATTGAAACCTTGAACGACTTATCAGTTCTAGCCCTCAATCGATCTCCAACTTCTTTATAAACAAGAATTCACTAGAAAGTCCTTTTTGTTGACTAATACACTTGCCTCTACCACATGTCTCTCAAATGGCAGAGCTTCAAGACTTGAAATCACCATGGTTTCCCCTGAAAACTTCGGACTGAAGACTCTTAGAATTCCTTCCTAATTGAACCAACTGAAGTGAATGTGTCCCAACGATGCTTGATCCAGTTCACCATGAGTAAGTCGAATACTGACCAAGTATGGTGTGATGTAATACAGATGGACGCATGTCTATTGCTGCTAGGAATGCCTTGGCAATATGATTGTTGTGTTGTGTATGATGGATGGACCAAAGAGAGATATTAGAGATTAGTTGGTAAACTGTTGTATTTATCCCTCACTAGACCTAACATTGCATATGCAATCCAGGTGGTTAGCCAATTTATGCATGCTCTACGAGTTCCATATATGAAGGCAGTGGGAAGGATCTTGAGATGCTTGAAGACATGCCCTGAGAAGGGATTACTGTACATGAGAAAATAGAGGTTGAAGCTTTTACTGATGTTGATTGGGCAAGTTCTCTTTGAGATAGGAGGTCTATATTTAGATACTATACCTTTGTTGGTGGTAATCTTGTTACTTGGAGGAGCAAGAAAGAAACTATTGTAGTAAGATCAAGTGCCGAGGCTGAATATAGGGCTATGGCTCATGGAGTTGCTAAGTTGCTTTGGCTTCGTATTATTCTAAGGGATTTAGGGATAGATGCAATTGGGCCTTAAAGTTGTATTGTGATAATCAAGTTGTAGTCAACATTGTTAACAACCTATTCCAACATGATTGGACAAAACATATTGAGATTGATAGACACTTTGTGTAGGAAAGAATTGTTTCTGGGGATCTTTGTATTCCTTATATTCCATCTAGAAGACAACTGGCTGATGTTTTTTCCAACGGGCTCACCATGGCAAGATTTATGGAGTTGTTATGCAAGCTGGGCATGAAAAATGTCTATGCTCAGCTTGAGGATGTGTGTTGTGAAACCTAGCATTGTGGTCTTGGGCTTTTATTATTTATGTTATGGCGTCCCCTTTTATGTTTCTTTCATAGGCTTAATGGGCCTGGATCTCTCTTGTACTAATATGTTCTTTTTTGCCTGCTAATCAGAGACAGATTTGTCATTGCTCTCCATCTCATATAACCCTACTATAAATAATAAGATTAGCAGCTTTTAGAGGTGCTGCCGCCCCATTTCGGGGAGGATCTTTGATGGGGGAATATTGCCTTCAAAGATAAATTTTCGACTCTGTATGCTCTTTATAAAAGCATATTTCATTTTGTCTCTTCCTCTTTGGATGGATTGGCTTGGAACTTTGGGTTTAAGAGGGTTTTGTGGGAAGTGGAGATACCTTTGAGCTTGCAACTTGTGGAGCTACTTGAGAATGTTCTTTTGGATCCTCTTAGGCTTGGCATTAAAATGTTGTCCCCATGCCCTTTTGGAATCTTTTCTTGATCCTCTTTGTCCTCCAGTCCCACTACCTTGAGGTTCCCAGTAAAAGAAGTGTGGAGTGGGCCACAAACCCACCCAAAGTGAGGGTTTTTTGTTGGGAGGTGTACCATTCCAATAGAAATTCATTTGTAACTGATATTTGGGAGAAGTTTTTTTCTCTATTTGGGTGCAGGTGGACCCCCCCCCCCCTTGCTGGACTTGATCTCCTTATTCAACAATTCCATTTTTATGCTCCCCACATGAAGATGGAAGATTCTTTGGAGATGTATTAAAGCTGCAATTCTTTTGGCAGTTTGGGAGGAGAGAAATGGAAGGTTATTCAGGGATAAGATCCAGGATAGAAGAGATATCATCAATCTTATTACTATAATCGTTGTACATTGGGTGAATACTTTAAGCCTTTTCAACACTTTTACCTTTGATGGCATCTTCAGGAATTGGGGATTGAAAACTAACTCAGGCATTTTCAGAGTCACTATTCAACCATTTTGGGCTCCTCCCTCTTCAAGAAAGCTCACATTTGATGGCTGTAGCAAAGGTAATCCAGGACCCTCTTGGCATTGGAGGAGTTTTTAGAAATCACGATGGGATTATAATTGAAATGTACTCTGGACCAGTAGGTCAACAGAATGCAGTTAGAGTTGAAATCCTAGCAGTATTACAAGGGCTGAAGCTGGCAAAGAGAATCGAATTAACCAATATCATAATTGAAGGGGATTTTAAAGTGGTGGTGGAGTGGGTTTGTAATGAAGATGTCCTTGGTAGTACAGAGACGTCATGATGGAGATTACCGAGCTAAAATGGGATAGGCTTGTTGCTGTTCAGTTGACTAATAGAACTGCAATGGGCTGGCAGATGGTTAGCAAGGGAAGGGGTTGAAAGAGAGAATTTGGTTCTGGGGGAGTGGCTCTTTACTTGATGTATTGCTTATGTGATTAGAAAAGGTTGGGGTTAGGCTATCTCAATGTCTGGGCTTTCTTTGTACTTTATTACCCATAATCTTGGGAGTTTTTTCTCTTGAAATCCTGCAATGATACCAGTTTTTACTTTCCTGAAATGGTTTGAGTAGCTAGGGTTACCACAATGATTAGACATGCAAAATGTGGGGATTCTTATGTTGTTTAAAACAGGGCCAATGGAATGCTATGTGACGTATTGCATCTTTGTTTTATCTACGTGCATTTTCCCTTATAGAACAGTAAGTTGGTATTGGACCTGTAACCACATAGTGAAACTGCATCATGCCAACTAAATTGCAATCTCCATTCAATCTATATGTTTGTATGTTTGTTAATATCTCAATACTATTTACTAATGATTTTTATTTGTTTTTTTTTTTTTCTATTTGTACATAGCACTTGACCCCTGCTTTTTTGTAAATGTTGACTTGTATCAATGCTATGTTGTTGCATTTGTAGGTTCTCCATGTTGCATTTGTTTACTTAATCCTTTTTTTTTTGGAAAAGTATTCAACTCATCTTGATTTGTTGCTTAAAATTTACAGCTGAATGTTAGGAACAAGTCTGCAGCTGCAGAGTGCTATATAAGAACAGAAATTTGCCTTGAAGGTTGTGCTGAACTTCTTAGTAAAATTTATCTTTTAGTTCTAATGGTTCAAATATTTTACTTTTCCCCACTTTATTTTTGACAATCGAGAAGAACTTTTCCTTTGATTCTGTCAGCTTCTAGGAATATCTAATGGTTAACAAGGAGCAGGCTTCTCCAGATGAATAATACCTTTCTTACCATTTAAAATTAAAATAGCTATTACAGGAGCATGCCCTGTATATTCTATAGTTAATTGTTTTATGTATGTTGTATTGTTTTCAGCTCATTTGTTTTTACCAGTGTTTTGAAATGAGGCACAAAGAAGCACTAGGCCTTTCTAGTTCCTGAGGTGCAAGGCACAATGCAAGGTGCACACCTAAACAAAGGAAGCCATAAATTTTTGAAAAAAAATATTCGTACATAAAAAATATGCAAAACCTGAATTTTAAAAGAAATTAAATGTTTTAAAAAAACCTATTAGGTCAAAGCATAAGAAGAATGGCATATAAAACAAATTCAAAGTAAATGTAAAAGCAAAAGCAAACAAACATGGATCAAACTAAAGTGCTTCAAGCATCAACAATTCAAACATGTAAAATTCTAAATGTGTCTATCTTCTAGTTGCATCACTTCAAGTTGTTTGTGTAATTTTGGAAATTTGGTCTCTGTTCATTCTATTTTAGGGTTAGGGATCGGTGTATAGTTCTACTCCTATTGCTTCTTCAGTGGAAATTTTTCTACCTAAGATTCTATTCTCAACAACCAGGTCGTTAAGTATTCAAAAGGTCTTTGCTTTTATTTCTTTTAAAATTAATCTTTATCTATGAAATTGGATAAATTATTTATTTGAAGGGGATTCCAAAGTGATGATTAGTTGGATACTCAACAATGAGACAGGTTTGTGGAGTTACAGAAATGAAATCAAGAAATTTAAATTGCTAACAAGCAACATGCAAGTTAAAATCACAGAATGGTGTGGTTGTATGGCTGATGCTAAGGCAATACAGGGAGTGGGTTGGGAGCAGATGTATTAGGCTCAATTCTAAGAAATAATAAGAAAATATCTAAGGGAGAGATGGTTCTTCTATGCAATCTGTGTACCAAATGTAAAGTTTGTATACGTTCTCTATTTTAAATTAATAAAGCAATTGGTTATTGACAAAAAAAAACATGAGTTAGAGACTTTTTCCTAGCCTACAGTAGGTAGAGGTAATGTGGTGATTGCTCATCTAATAGTTTTCAGATGACATCACTCTTTTTGTGAAGGAGATGAAACACAAATGGTTAGGAATTTGAGTTTGATTGTGAAGCTCTTGGAGAACATATCCAACTTGAGGATTAATCTAAGATAAAAGTTGTGTGACTGGGGTAAGTGTGGAAGAAAGCTTGAGATGTTTGCAAACTTGTTAGGCTGTGGTGTCATTTCATAGCCCATGAACTATCTAGGTCTTCCCTTAGGCTCAGTTTGGAAGGAGTACAAATAAAAATTTGTATAGTGCAAATCTTGGTATTTTGTATTTTGTATGTATTTGCACTTTACATATTTGTATTTGTACTCTTTCCAAAATGAGCCTTAGGGCCTAACCTAAAAGAAAACAGATTCTATAACCTCATATTGGAAAAGTTTTCCAAATGGTTGGCTATATGGAAAAGGAACTACCTTTCTTTGGGTGGTAGGGTAGCTTTGATAAGGATTATATTGGCAAATCTTCCTGTTTACTATTTGTCTGTTGTCAAAATCCTGCATGAAATTGCTAAAATAGTTAGTAGGAGTAAGAGTCAAGGAGGGTTGTCAATTGGAAATATATGTAAGAGAAATATGTCTTTGTTGGGGAAGTGGTATGAGTGGTAGAAAGTATTCATTGCTTTATGGATACAATGGGTGGGATGCTGGACCATTTGCAAGAAACACATAAGCTTCTCTGTGGAAGGCATTTCATATTTTCATTATATTTGTCCATAGTTACTTAATTATGTCAACTGTGATTTTTATTTTTGTAATAGGATTCTCCTTTAAAAGATTGGTTTTCTACCTATAGAAGAGAATCTATTATAAACTTTGGTGTTCTTCCTCTTTGGGTGAGTGTTCCTTCTTCTTTTATGGGTGTATCCTTTTGCCACCAACCTAGCTTTGTATCTTTTAGTTGATCTATCAGCCCGGTGTTTAACAGTATACAACCACTTACAACCCATTGGGACTTTACTCTCAAGAAGAGGAATGGGCTCCTAAGTGTGGTTGTTTATGAGGGCCTCCATCTCTTGGTTCATAGCATCCTTCCACTAAGGGGACTGCACTACATCTGAAACATTACGAGGAATAGAAATAAAGGAGATGACAAAAATATAGGCATAATAGGAAGATGAAAGAGGATCATGAGAAACATGGTTAGTGATGGGATAGGTAGTGCATTTTCTTTTTTCTTTTCGAATTGCAATTGGAAAATGAAGGTCATATTGTGAGATATTAGGCTCAACAACAGTAGGAATAGGAAGTTAAGGTTGCTTTCAGAATTACCTGGAGGTGGATGATTAGATCGTTGTGCACATTCAGCTTCAGGAGTAACCTTACTTTTGTGCCTTATGAACCACCGTTGTGAGGACTGTTGTTGAGGAATGGGAGTAGGAATACTGTTACTACAAGTGGAAAGGGAAGAAGATGGCCTAGGAATGTCCATAGAGGCAAGAACAAGAAAACAAAAAGGAGTTTGATCTTCACTAACACTCTCCTCTTGAACGGAAGGATGAATGGGCTGGAAATACAGAGTAGACTCAAGGAATGTAACATCCTTAGATACATACCATCAGCCAGAGTGAAGATCAAAGCACTTGTACCCCTTTTGGACTGAATAGTAGCTCAGAAAAATGCATTTGATAGAACCAAGGTCAAGTTTGAGATGAGGACTCATGTCATGAAGAAAGCAGCTACAAGCAAAGTCTCTGAGAGGCAAACAAAAAATGGGGTCTTTAGGGAAATGAAGATGAGGAGATGAAAGGCAAAGGGTCTGCGAAGGAAGTCTATTAATGAGATACATTGTTGCTTCAACTGCATGTCCCCAGAAGCGGGTTGGCACATGCATCTGGAAGAGTAGGCCTTTGATAACTTCTACAACATGTCTGTTTTTTTCTCTCTGCTACACCATTCTGTCATGGAGTATGAGAACATGAGCTTTGATGAATTGCCCCCTTTTCTTCAAGGAAGAGTTGTAGATGCTTTTTGAAATATCCCTTAGCATTTTCAGACCTTGTTTTGAACAATGGAAGAAACTCCATCTCTACTCTTTATCAGGTATAGTCACATATATCTTGAGTAATCATCAATGAATATAAAATATTTAGTCACCCATACATGGAATAGAGTATGGGCCCCAAACATCAGTGTGTATCAAGCTGAAAGCAACATCCCTCCTTTTATTATATGCAAGATATGTAGTTCTACATTGTTTTGAGAGATGATATACTTCATATTGCATACTCAAACTAGACAAAGACTGACACAAGTTTGAAAACTAAGACTAATGGACTAAAAGACACATGACCGAAGTGATAATGCCGCAACTTCAAATGACTCAGATTTTCCTTTTGACATGACTTGGTCTGGCACAATAATCCTTGCTTGGAGACTTTATCAAAAAGTTAAACTCCATCAGCTTCATGTTTAGTTCCATTCATCTTCCCCATTTTTAGGTCTTGGAAAACACAATGAGAGGGGAAAAAGGTCACTGAATAATTATGAGATTTGGTAAGAGCTAACAAATAAAAGGTTTTTGTATAATTGAGGAACATGAAGAACAGAGCTCAGGGAAAGATCATGAATAAGCTTGACTTCACCTAGACCAAAAATTGGAGTCTGAAGTCCATCAAGTACAGTGATTTTGCCTTCCCCTAGATCCAATTTATAAGAGGTGAAGTGGGAAGACATACCAGTCATATGTGCACTAGCTCTAGAATCCACAATCCAAGAGTTAGCTGAAGAGGACTGACAAACTTGTGCAGTACCTGCTTTTGTAAAAGCACTAAAAGGATTACTAGAACTAGTAGAGGTAGAAGACTTAAGACTTCTCAAGCTGAAGTAGGAGGATCCTAAGCTTCTCCATCACATCAGAGGAATCATGTGTAGGAGCTTGTACATTAGGCGGAGGACAATCAATTCCAATAGTAGCAAGATGAGCATTTCCCTTTGTTGTTTTAAAATTTTCAGGCTTCAAATGTGGATTTAGTTTCCAACACCTATCCATGGTATGTTTTGGTTTCTTGCAGTACTCACATACCGCTTCTTCATGCTTTTCATCAACACCATTTCTGTTTTTTTCTCTACTTGGATTTGGAAGACATGTAAGCAAAATAGTACACCACTGAAGTTTGCATCATGGCAACCCTTCTACTCTCATCTCCCTATAGCAAGGAGTATGTAGTAGCAAGAGAAACAATATATGCACTCAAGATATGCTGTCGGGTAAAATCATAGTCAGCATTCAACCCTACCAAGAAGTCAAGCACTCGGTTCTTCTCAACATACTTTCGGTACTGTTCACCATCCTCAGGATTCTTCTATTCCCAGGCCTCCATGTGGTCCTTTTCTTTCCATAGAGACTGCAAGGAAGAGAAGTACATGGATATAGTCCTCTCCCCCTAGCGCATATTACAGGCTTCTCTTTGGAGTTGGTAGACTGGGGTTGTATTTTTTTTTCTTAAGAGTATGTAGCCGAAACACGATCCCAAATATCCTTAGCTGTGGAGAGGAACATGTAGTTATGGGTAATATGAGGCTACATACAACACACCATCCATGACACAACCAATGAACTGTCATGTTCCCATTTGGCAAATTTGGGGTCATTAGGTTTTGGCTTCCTCTCCTTCCCAGTAATGAATCCCAACATACCCCTACCTCTGATAGTAAACTTGGCTGATTGAGACCACTCTAGTAAGTTGGTTTTGTCAAGTTTCACTGTGGTTATCATACCACTAGAGACATCAACATTGTTCGGGAGTACTCTAGAAACAGTCTGTACTTCCTTAGGCAAGTCCATTGGATTTGGATAGGTTTCTTTCCAGCTCTACAACACTCCAACAACCAATTGACACACACTAGACCCACCAAAACAGGGCAACATTCGATTAGAGTCCAACAGGATGCCAAAAACTAAATTGGTGGCAATATATGGGAGAAACAAAGCTCCTAAAAATAGCTAGGGTTTAGAAAAATGCGGAGCCATTTCCAATACCTCAAGAAGACTTAAATCAAAACATAACAACTTTCAAGCAAGTACCAATCTCAGATGGATAGCAAAAAATTCAAACATTGAATCAGTATTTTTCTGTAATATGATTGTAAAATCCGGGAAAATCATAGGAGCATCAGATGAAGATGAGAACCATACCAGAAAAATCCCTACAATTAGGGCACATCAAAATAAACTAATTTCAAGGGTTGTTGCTGGTACCTATATGGACTATTGGCATCATCTGATGACGCTCTGATGTCAGCAGGTCTTCCTGTGTTTGGGAGTTGACAAAAAGGACTCTTCGGAGATTCCTTCCTGCTCTGGTACCAAGTTGTAAGAGTGTGGGAGGAAGGGAAGAAGAGAGGAAGAGGAAGAAGAAGAGAAAAGAAGTGAGTTATGGGAGAAGAGGGTGTATTAGTGTTCACACCCAAAAATTACATTTGATGGAAGTAGCATGGGAAATCCGAGGCCTTTAGGAATTGTTTTTGAGTTCTTTTGGATCAGGTGAGTCATTAAGATAAAATTGATGGCACTATTATAGGCAGTACAGCCAATAAAGGAGCTGCAACTGAGAAAAGTAATTATTGAAGGGGATTCCAAGGTGGTGACTGCTGGCTATGGAGTTACAGAAATGAAATCAAGAAATTCAAATGGTTAACAAGGAAAATGCAAGTACAACTTCACTAGGTGCAAAGATCATTGGATGAAATGGTTGATACTTTAGCAAATCTGGGAGTAAGCTGGGAACAATTTCCTTGGGCACAATTGCTAGAAAGTGTTAAGGGAGAGATGGTTGTACTATGCTCTCTGAATGTCGAATGTAAGATTCATACATATCTTTTGTTTTAATCAACAAGGCAAATGGTTATTGATAAAAGAAAGTATGAGAACACAGGTTCAAGTCTGAGAGTGGTTATATTTTGAGGAAAAACATGCCAAAGGTTAGGTTCAAGGTTCAAAATTTTGCAACGTATTGACATGTATTGGCTGATACGTATAACGTATCGTATCAGCAAGTCACTGATGCATTGCTTTTTAAGGTTAAAATAGCTCTGCTTTAAATGCTAATTTAACATTATTTCCCACCATCTCTCAAATTTTGAAGAAAACTAAAATAAATAAATAAGGGGTGTTAGGTTCAGAGTACCAATGCACTCCTTCCGTATTGGGGTGTATCGATATTTTGAACCTTGGTTAGGTCCATATCCAGTCTGCCAACTCTGCCCCTCTCCCTAGACCAAACATAGCCTGTACAATCATTGGGTAATGGCCTATCCGATTGGATCTGTCTTCATGGTTGTATTCATGATGGGAAAGTTTTTTGCATCTCATTATAACTAGTTCACATGTTGGAGATGGGAAATGTTCACTTTCTATTTATGGTTGTTCATTTTTTGCTTTTTGTTAATGGTGCTTAGTTTACTTTGCAGCATTGATTGATGGAATCCGGGAGGATGTTTCTGTGCTCACATTGCTTGCAGAGGCCTTATGTCTTTTAGACATGATTGTAAATTCATTTGCTCAAGCAATATCCACTAAGCCTGTAGATCGATATACCAGACCTCAATTTACAGGTATAGATTGTCTCTTATCTATTTTCTCTGGAAATTTGATATCGAAGTGCAAGTGGAAGGATGTTTCACTTATGCTGAATTTGTGATATTACTGATAGATAATGGTCCATTAGCTATTGATGGTGGAAGACACCCTATCCTAGAGAGCTTACACAACGACTTTGTTGTATGTTCCTTTTCTATTTCCACTATATTTTCTAGTTCCTTCTTATAGAAGTGCATCTAAAGCATTCATTATTTATATCATAAACTTCATCAATTGCTTTAATGTCTAATGATTTCACATTCTTCCTGTAGCCTAACAATATTTTCCTTTCTGAAGCATCTAACATGATAATTGTCACAGGGCCAAACATGTAAGGAATCCTTGTGAAAAGTATTTCTCTCATGGATTCTGTTTGTTATTGAAGTCAACTTTGAAATAATGTTCCTTGCTTTTGATCTATCTATTAACCATTAGGTGGTAAAAATCTTCAGCCTATATTCTGCTTGTTGACCACCATTTTCTTTTCTAGGAGTGGAAAGAGTACTTATCTTCAGCAAGTATGTCTTGTGGTCATCCTTGCTCAAATTGGTTGCTATGTTCCTGCCCGCTTTTCATCCTTAAGGGTGGTTGATCGCATATTTACACGGATGGGAACAGGGGACAATCTTGAATCCAACTCCAGTACGGTATTTTATATAGCTTCAAACTTTATTTTTCTATTTAAGATTAATTAGCATAATTGCATTGACTATGTAAAAGTTGTCATGATTTCTAAATTACATTTTGTCCTTTTGTTTTTTGATGGGTGTGTTCCATTATGGATTTCCATTCATTACCCAAATCTTACCACAAATAGAAGGCCCATAAGAAATTGATTGAGTTAATACCATTTAACTGTAACGGCATTCTAACATGGAAAACAGCATTGCAATTCAAATTTTATTTATCAAAAAATGAAACTCTTCAAAACTCAACTTTTATACTGGTAGTGTCTTTATTGAGCATGTAGTGTCTTTAGTTGTAGTGGGCTTAAGCCCCATTTGTTCTTTTATTTTAGTAGCTACCCCATTAAGTTTAATCATACTTTAAGTTGTGATTAGAGTTAATAAAACATTATTAGGGGCAGGGAGATAGCCACGATTTGCTTTTCTCCAAACCCTACTTCTCATCTCTATCTTATATTGATCTTAATATTCTTCTACTCATATTTGCTTAAGAATAATATTTGTTCTGTTCTGTAGGAGCAAATTGACCTATCATAGAGGGAGGTTGCTATTGGACAGAGATCAGGGAAGACTACTAGGAGTGGTTGCAGTTTTTCTCTTTCTTCTGAGTTGGTGAAACCCTAGATTCAGGTGTTGAACTGATTGTAGATCAGTTTTTCTAGGTCACAGAATCCGGGATTGGTCCAGTGATGCCTGCATATAGTTTCTACAATGTAGTGGCTATAGTTAGGCTCTATGGGACTTATTACCTAGAATGCTCTCAATCTATAATTCTATATGAATCTATGTTTGTGGCAGGGGAAATTGGGTTTTCTTATAGCCAATAGTAAGAAATTAGATGAGAAGGATCTCACATATGAGAAGTGGATGCAGGAGATTTACATGGTTATTGGATGGTTGTGAAACCACCGACACTGTACTATTCTATGCTGAAATCCTTGTTGTAAGAGATTGATTTGCTGGAGGCAATAGTTTGGGAAAATAATAAGGATGCTGGGACTTACATGAAGTTGGTTGAGTGGAATAGTCTTTGAATTCTTATTTGGGATTAATCTAGAGTATGATATTACTAGGCAAAATGTATTTGCAAAAGATGATGTGTCATTGTCTCAAGTGTATGCTATGGTTAGTAGTGAGGAGAGTAGGAGACAAGTTTAGTTAGTGACGCCATAGCACTATTCCCATGTGAGTGTTAAACCAAAAGGGAATGAAGAGAAGGAAGAGGAGATCATTTGTGATTTCTAAACGAAACCAAAGCATACTAATGATTTTTATTAGAAATTACATCCTCATCTAAAGCTAGTCTGAACAAAAAGTAGTAAAAAGGGAGGAAATGCAAATGTTGCCAATGTACTAGAGGAAGAAAAGGGGGCTAGTTAGGATCATAGTTGTCAAGGCAACGCCTAGGCGACAAGGCACCCTTGGAGGCTCGCCTCGCCCTGTTGCCAAGCAGTTTTGTGCACTATGTTATAAAATACTTTTATATTTTTAATTTTTTGACATTATAATTATAAAATAGACATTAATAAACTAGAACATCATTTTATGCGTTTATATACTAATTTCTTTTTATTATTTTCTTATTTGTTAGGGTTTAATCAACACAAACATTGCTAACTATTGTATTGAACCCATGGTTCAAAGTATCAATCAGTGTTTTAAAAGGCGTGGGGGGCATACACCTGGAGGCGCTCCAGATGAGGTGCTTCCAAAACGCCTCAAGGCATAGGCTAGAAGCGCTGACACCTCTGAGGTGTATGCCTCAGGTGCAAGAGGCATACGCTTCATGCGCTTTTTTTCATGAGGCGTGCTAGAGGCATACGCCTCATGCACACCTTATATAAAAAGATTGAAAAAAAATGAAAAAAGAAAAAACAAGGAAAGGAAAAGAAAAGAAAGGGAAGGGAAAGAAAAAGAAAGAAAGAGAAGAAAAAGAAAAGAGAAAAGGAAAGGGAAGGGAAAAAAAGATAAGAGGAAAGAAACTGGTGCTATGCATCTTTATTCTTCTTGATATAAAAAAAATTATTAAAAATAATGAAAAAATGAGATCCTCGCTTCCTCTTTTTCTTCCTGACCCCCCTCCTCTTAAGGAGGCTTACGCCTCCTTGTGATCGGGAGGCTTATGCCTCTTATGTTCTGAACTACGCCTTATGCCTCTAGGTAGTGGAACGCCTCGTGTCACGCCTCCGCATTTTAAAACATTGGTATCGTTACACCTCTGTGTATTGGTAGAGGTGTATCAGTACTTATAACGATACACCTTTGGTTTTCAATTTCATTTATGTATATATTTTATTTAAAAAAATGGGTTCCTGAAAACATCTGTAAACATGTGTATCAGGACACCGAAGATAAAATACAATACATTCGATATAGGGTGTATCGTATTGAAATTTTGATCCTTGATTGAATCCTCAAAGATTTCAAAACCTTGAACCAATAAGCAAGGGAAGAACTTAAAATTTTGTCTAATCAACACATTTTCTTCTTCCACATCTTCTTCTTTTTCTTCTTCTTCTTCTTCTTCCTCCTTTTCTTTTCTTTTTTTCCTATAACAAAAGTAGGGGTTCAGCCACTATATTTTTTGAATTCTCTTTCCTTTGTTCTTTTTCTTCTCATAAAATGTTGATTTTCTAGACTTCAACACGAAATTTATACATCTCTTATGAAATTTATGGATAATTATTAAGGAAAGATGGTTTTGGAACGGTAGGGAACTACCCTAGGAAATATGGTTTTACTTTAAAAAAAATCCATTGCCTAGGTGACTAGGTGACAAGGCACCCCCCTGTCGCCTAGCCTCGCCTTGGCACCTTGAAAACTATGGTTAGGATAGATCAGTAGTGGAGCAATTGGTTGTTGTGGGAGAAAAGTTTGAAAAATATGGGAAACTCCTCTATCATTTGGAGAAAGAGGTTGCTTTCAGTTCTATAAGAAATCCTACTTCCACACCTCAGTTAGCCATTATATCCCTTGGATTATAGGTTTTGGTTTTTCTGATCACATCCCATCTTTTTAGTACCCATTAGCTCCTTTCTAGCCAAGACAAAATTTCCTGAACTGATGGCTCTCTTGCTCTCATTTCTGGTAAGGGAGACATTAGGACTTCAAAAACCTTTACCTTACCTTTTGTCCTTACTAACCTTAGTTGTTTTAGTAGTATAATTAAATGATTGAATTATTGCATAACCTTTCTTTCTTACACACAAGGTTCTAAGTATCGATATGATACGCTGCGTATTGGGCATATAGTATTGTATCTATAGGGCACCAATACCCCCTTTTCTAAGTATATTTATGAACTATTTTTTAATAATTAAATAGCATAAAAACATGCTTGTCAAATTTTGGAAAGAATTAAAAGAATAAGATGTGCATGGTTTAAAGTGTCAATGCACCCATTCCTACATATCAGGGTGTATTGATACTTTGAACCATGCTTACACATTGTTTTTTAGGACCTAAAGTCTAAAGAGTGATTGGGAGTGTCCATGAGGCAAATGGAATATATTTGCTCAATGTGCTTGTGAAGAACCTATCCCAGGAGGTGGCCTTAGAGTCAATTGTGTTAGAGACTGCTAATCATATTATGCTTTGACATTTTTGGTTAGGTCATTTGTCATTTTTTGTTTACGTTTATATTTTCTAGATATGTTTAAAGGTTTTTGTCTAGTTTGTAGTGTGCATCCAATTAGTTATGTAAGCATTGTAGAAATTCTTATTCGTTGAGTGATAAAAGATTAAAGTTTCTATTCAATATTGTACACTTTGGTGTGTGGTCATCATATGATATATTACCTTCTATTGGTGGCTATAAATATTTTTTCTAATGTTGGTTAAACGATTTCATGAATTTATTCTTACTCAGTTTGATACCTACATTCAAATAATCCGCTTCGGTAATGCAAATGAATATTTTGAGAAAGGTTTATATACTTTGAAAAGTTTGGGGTAGTTCATCAGAGCTCTTGTTCATATACACCTCAACAAAATGGGGTAGTTGGGAGGAAAATCGTCATGTTGTTGAAATTGACGAGAGTATTTTGTTTGTTTCTCATGTTCAACTAAAATTTTGAGGGGATGCTATTATTACTTCTACCGAATACTTTTATGAGTTTTTGGTTCTAAGTTCCCCTTTCAGCCTCCTTTTCCTTAATAAGGACTTTTTTTTCTATACCTATCAGTCTTTGGATGCACATTTATGTACATATTCCTAGTTCCCAATTGTATAATTTTGAATCCAAAGCTAGAAAATGCATCTTCCTTGGGTATGCCTTCACAAAGAAGGGTTATGGTTGTTATGATCCTATCAATGGTACTTGCTTTTATCTCCATTAGTTTCACCTTTGTAGAGTCCATTCTTTTTTTTCAATTTTGTTCTGAAGGGGAAAATCATATTTTGTTTAATAGGATTGCAGATTGATACTTCAATGATATTATATTGTGACAATCAAGCTGCCATAAACATAGCCCACAACCCTGTTCAACAAGATTGTACAAAGCATATAGAGGTTGATCGACATTCCATTAGAGAAAGAGTTTCCAGTGGAGAGATTTGTTTACCTTTTGTGAGGTCTGAAAACTAGTTAATTGATTGTCATACTAAAGGTGTTTCCAAATCAAAGCTCGACAACAATTTGAACAAGCTAGGCATGACAAATATCTATGCTCAATTTGGACGCCTATTCAAGGACCCCTTTGTAATTCTACTTGTAATTCTTTTCTTTTCAACATCTCTAAATCTTCCAACTTATTATTGTATTAATTCAGCTACCAAAAGAATTATTGTATTAATTTTCTTCGTGATAGGAATTTGCATGTGGCCAAAATCATATTTTTAATTGTTTTTAACATATGAAATTGTTCATAACATATGATATTGATACTACATGTTTTGTTTGTTAACATATGATATTGATACTACAGTTCATGACCGAGATGAAGGAGACGGCTTTTGTTATGCAAAATCTCTCCCCAAGGTAGCGTAGGAGTATACTATATCATCAAGCATATAATATACACTGGGAACCTATGTCCTTGGTTGTTCAGATGTGGCATTTTCATAGTTTTATGCATGTCTTGCCTAAAATATCTTTTATAGGAGTTTGGTTGTTATGGATGAACTTGGGAGAGCTACTTCTTCTTCTGATGGATTTGCAATTGCGTGGAGCTGTTGTGAGCATCTACTATCACTGAAAGTGTAAATACCAATGTCATATTTTCCTTGACATATTTTCTATATAATCTATTAGTATTGTTGAAGATTAATCAGTTTTATGATGTTTTTCTATGTAGATGTTTTATGTTAGTTGTTAGATAGGAGGTGGGGACCACAGTAGTTATGTGAGTCCAAATTTTATTATGTTTTTGAGCGTTATATATGTTGTTTTATGTTTTTCCATCCTATAAGGGCATAGTTGTCTTTGTACTGTTCTATTATTTTTAGTATAAATAATAACTGAAGTGGGTGGCCAGATCATTGCTCTCTTTTCTTTTCAACTTCTCTTCTTCTCCTTCTCTCTTCCTTCTCTCTTCAAGAAACTACTTTTCTTTCATATATATATTTTTTTTAATTCAGTAGATTTCTACTTGGTATCAGAGCATTGGCTAGGGTTTCTTGAAGAATTCTCATGCAGCCCTAGATCAGCCGACTACATGAAGTAGTAAAGGGCTGATTGATCTGCTATAGATTGCCCAGTTCTTGGATTTTAAGGTGGGATCTAGTCATCAGGAAGGTGATCTACTGTTCAACATCAAAATCAGTAAGAATTGGAGTACAGGGAAGTGTCCTAGAAAAGTTGGACTCTTTGTTTTTTATCTGATCTTGGGTGCCCAGGTATTGTTAGTTTTCTTTTGATTTGCTGAAGAGGGTGGTTTGGTTTCTGGAATTTTCTAAGCCTCCCGGAGTGATCGATTCACTTTTCTCTCTGTTGGGAGGCATGGAGAGGAGAGAGCTTTCTCTCCAACTAGGGTTTTCTTCTTCTGGAAGGGTTGGTTTCTGTGTGTGTGATATTAAATTATTTCTTGAAGGTCTCCAATCTATTTTTTTTCTTACTGTTGAACTGTTTGAAGTAAGATGGAGAGTTGGAATACCGAGATGAAATCTACCGGTATTGTGGGGCTAGGTGTTGGAGGTAGAAGTAGGGGTGTTAATGGACCGGTTTTGCGTTGGACTCCATCCAAATCAAAATCCTTTTGGATGGATTGGACAGACCAATAAGACATATTGAATTTGGACGGACTGGATGGACCAATATGGCATATTGGATTGGACCTGGTCTGTCCATAATGAATTTATATTGGACTGAATCAATATCTGGTCCATTGATAGAAAATATGAACATAGGTATCGATGGACCAGGTTTGAGTTGAAAACAATCTAAATTAACAGGAATTTGAACAGATTGGACAATCTTTGGATTGGTTCAAAATGGTCCAAAATATTCATTGGACTGGATTGAACCAGGTTCATTTGTAAAGGACTCACATTGGACTGGACCGGATTGGACCAAATCTAGTCCAATTGACACCCCTAGGTAGTAGTGATATTTTTGGGTCTGGGATCATTACTACAGTAGAACTTGATGGTACAAATTATTTGGAGTGGGCACAATCAGCTAAGATGGCTATTGGTGCCGGTGGAAAATTAGGGTATCTTACTGGGGAGAAGAAACCTGATACAAACTCTTCCTGATGGGTGTAGGAGAATTACATGGTAATGTCCTGGCTGTGTAATTCTATGTTACCTCATATTGCACAAAATTTCCTATGGGCTAATATTGCTAAGGAGATTTGGGTTGGAGTGAATGAAACCTACTCTCAGAAGCAAAATGAAGATAGAGCTTATCAGTTAAGAAATCCGGTGATAAGTATGAAACATGGAGAAAAACCTCTTTTGTGTATTTCTCCATGCTGAAAACCCTATGGCAAGAAATAGATCACTTAGAAACGGTGGTATGGGAATGTGTAAATGATGCAACAACTTATTATAGACTAATAGAGAGGAATAGGGTTTTTGAGTTCTTAGCAGGGCTGAACCCTGAATTTGACATTGCTAGGCAGCATATTCTTTCTAGGGAGGGTGTGACACTCTCTCAGGCCTATGCCTTTGTCTTTGGAGAGGAGAGTATGAGGAATGTAATGCTAAGACAACTTGGGATTGATCAGTCGGCTATGGTTGGTACAACAAAACTTAAGCCAAATGGAGACAAGGGGGAGTATTGAGACTAGAAGGGATGATAAGAAGGACTTGGTGTGTGATTATTGCAAGAAGCCTGAGTATACCAGGGACACTTGTCGGAAGTTTCATCCAAATCTTATGCCTACTTGGATAAGAAACAAGAAGGGAAATGCAAATGTAGCCACTACAGGAGACTCTTCAGCCCCTCTTTCCTAAATTGATTGGGAATCCATTGTAGTAGCAGCAGTGAGAACAAAATTGGAGAGGTTTGGACAGCTTATGAGTAAGAAAGATTCACCTAGCTCTAGCCTTCCAGATGAACAACAAAATGTAGGAGCCAACTATACCACTTCCTTTGCACATACAGGTAGTTCATATGCAATTGCAAATCTTACATCCACTTCATGTAAGGAGGGACCTCCCTGGATTATAGACTCAGGAGCATTTGAGCACATGACTAATGCCCCTACCCTTTTCAGTTCCTATCAGTTGTGCTCTAGTAGAGACAAAGTCTCTATAGTAGATGGTTCACAAATGCCCATTGATGGTTCACAAATGCCCCTACCCTTTTCGTGACCTTTCTTCCCGGTAATTGTGTTTTGTAGGATCTGAAGTCAAAGAAGATGATTGAGAGTGGTCATGAGGTGAATGGAGTCTACCTTCTGGATGAGATTCCGAGACATTAGGGCCATCCATCCTGTTAGCAACAACAGTAGTAGTGGGTCAAAGTCAATGAACCAGATTATGCTTTGGCACAATCGCTTGGGACATCTTTCTTTTAGTTCTTTGAACTGTCTTTTCCCAAAGTTGTTTGAGTCTGTTCAAGTATCTACTTTGGAGTGTGAGAATTGTCAGTTAGGAAAGCATTGTAGACAGTCTTTTAAACCAAGTAATTAAAGAAGTACTTTTGCTTTTAATATTGTTCACACTGATGAATGGGGGCCATAGCATATCCCTTCTGTGGGAGGATTCCGTTACTTTCTCTTGTTTGTGGATGATTATACACGACATTCTTGGATATATTTGATGAGATCACGTGATGAGGTTCCTAACTTGGTACGATAGTTCCACCAGATGGTTCTCACATAATTTGGAGTGAGAACTAAGGCTTTTAGATCAAATAATGCCAGAGAGTACTTTGAGAAGGACCTGACTATGTATCTCTTAGAACATGGTGTAGTTCATCAGAGCAGTTGTGCATATACATTGCAACAGAATGGAGTTGTTGAAAGGAAAAACAAACACATTGTGGAGGTGGCAAGGAGTCTTATGGTGTGTGCTTCATTTCCTGTGCAGTTTTGGGGAGATGCAGTTCTTACAACCGTGCATTTGATTAACCTTGTTCCTTCACGGACTTTGGGGTTTAAGGTGCCATTTAGTCTTCTTTTTCCAGATGGGGAGATATTTCATATACCTCTGAGGGTTTTTGGTTGTGTTTCCTTTGTTCACATTCTTGGCCCTCATCGCAAGAAATTGGATCCTAAGGCCAAGAAATGTGTTTTTCTTGGGTATGCTCAGAACCAAAAGGGGTATTGCTGTTATGACCCAGTGTTGAGGAGCAGATTTGTCACTATGGATGTTACCTTCTTTGAATCTACCTTCTTCTTCTCGAGTGGTTCTCCTCAGGGGGAGAGTTTTGGGGAGAAGAACTCACAGATTGTTCCTCTTTCTATTTTTTTGGTGCCTCCATCAGTTCAACCAACACCTCCATCAGTTCAACCAACACCTGCACCTTCAATTTCATTACCTGAGCCACTACGGGCAGACTCAGAAATAGCAATGCCGGCAGATGATGGTTGACTCCACACATCCTTAACCCACACCACTCTCTGTTAGTCCTTCTAAAACTCTAGACTTGGTAGATACAGTTCTAGGTATTCCTCTTGAGCTTGAGCTAGTTATGTTTTCTAATGATAATGTTCCTGTCCCTAACACCATTGTTGTAGCTGATCTCACTGATCTTGATCTTCCCATTACACTTCATAAGGGGAAGAGAAAGTGTACAGCCCACTACATTTCACACCATCTTTCCTACAGTGCCTTATCACCCTCCTACTGTGCTTTTCTTTCTTCCCTGGATTCTGTGTCTAGACCCAGGAATGTTACTGAAGCTCTCTTCTAACCTGAGTGGAAAATAGCCATGCAAGATGAGATGGATGCTTTGGTCAAAAACCAAACTTGGGAAATAGTTGATCTCCCCCCAGACAAGGAGACAATCAGATGTAGATGGGTATTTATAGTGAACTATAAGGTCGATGGCAAGATAGAGAGGTACAGGGCAAGGTTGGTAGCAAAACGGTATACTTAGACCTATGGTGTTGATTATCTGGAAACCCCAGCAGGAACCTTATCCTTGACGAGGCATAATCTCCCAAGTCTAGTTCTTTAACAAGGCCTCCATCTCTTGGTCCATAGCTTCCTTCCAGTGAGGTGATTGCACTGCTTCTATAACATTGTGGGGAATAGAAACAGGGGAGATGGCAGAAATATAGGCATAATAGGAGGGTGAGAGAGCATCATATGACACATAATTAGTAATGAGGTACTTGATACATATTCTCTTTCCCTTCTGAAGGGCAATAGGAAGATCAAGATTAGGGTCAACAAGAAGTACTGGGAGGTTCAAGATTACTTGAGTCCTAGGGATTAGATTTTGTGGGAATTCAGCTTCACGAGCTACCCTCTTATTGTGCTTGATGAAGAATTGATGCCAGGATCGAGGCCGATACACAGGAGGTGGAGGGCAAGGAAAGCCCTCATTACAAGAATGAGAGGAAGAAGAACTAGTAGACACAAAAATAGGAACAAGAAGGCAGAATGGAGTGCGATCTTCATTAGCAATCTCCCCTTGGAGAGGCAGACGGGATAATTGAAAAAAGGATGAGAACTCAAGGAAGGTAACATCTTTTGAAACATACCTCTGACCAGACTGAGGACCAAAACATCTATAACCTTTTTGAACAGGAGAGTAGCAAAGGAAGACACATTAGGATCAAACTTATTTCTCGAAGGACTCATATCATGAACAAAACAAACACATCCAAACACCCTAAGAAGTAAATTGAAGGTGGGTTTATCAGGAAGAAGAATATGGTGAGGGGACCGAAGATTTAGCATCCTTGATGGTAAATAAGATACACAGCAGTCTCAATAGCATCTTCCCAGAAATGAATAGGAACTTGAGTCTAGAACAATAACCCATGAGCAACTTCAACCACATGTCTATTCTTCCTCTTAGAAACCCCATTTTGCTGTGGAGTCTGACTACATGAGCTCTGTTGAATAGTGCCCCGTTCTTCAAGAAAAACACGAAGGTGGTATATGGAGTGTCATAAGATCTTTTCATTGTCAGATCTTATTATCTTAATTCTTTTCTCAAACTGTGTTTTCACCATATTCGTGAAATTTTGAACAATCATAGGAACTTCATCACGTTGTTTCATCAAGTAGAGCCATGTATATCAAGTAGTCATCAATGAAGAGAATGAAGTATCTATACCCACCCATGCATGGAATGGTATATTGGCCCTAAATATCAATATGAATCAAAAGGAAAGCAACATTACTTCTTTTGTTACTCGCAAAATATGTGGTTCTACATTGTTTGGATAAATGACAAACTTTACATTGAGGACTCAAGTTGGACATTGAACTAAACAAATTTGGAAACAAAAGTTTTATAGACTTAAAAGACATATGACCAAGACGATAATGCCATAATTGCAAAAGACTCAATTTCTCATCAGAACAAGATTCATCCTAGCTCATCAATCCATTTTCTGAAGCTTCATTAAAAAGGTAAACTCCATCGATTTTATGCCTACTTCCAATCATCTTCTTTGTTACTTCCAATCATCTTCCTTGTTCTTAGATCCTGAAAATCACAATGGGTAGGAAAAAATGTTACAAAAAAATTATGGGACTTGGTAAGAAAACTAACAGATAATAAGTTTTTATGCAATTGAGGAACATGAAGAACAGATCCAAAGGAAATGTTATGGGTAAGTTTGACTTCTCCCTGACCCGAGATAGGGGTCCGAAATTCATCTACAACAATAACCTTGCCCTTCCCAGGGGTTAACTTATATGAAGTAAATTGTGAAGGCATACCAGTCATATGGGCAGTAGCCTAGAGTGAACAATCCATGGGTTGGAGGTGGAACAAGCAAGTGTAGTACCTGTGTTAGCATATGCATTGGATGGATTACTAGAACCAGATGAGGAGGATGCCCCACTCTTTTCCAAGTGCAATCAAAGACTTTGAAGTTTATCCATCACATCAGAGGAGTAATAAGATTGAATGGTCACATCAGAAGACTAATCCTCGTTACCAATTGCGGCCAGATAAGCATTACCTTTCTTTTCAGTTTTAAACTTGTCTGGTTTCAAGTGAGGATTGAGTTTCCAACATCTTTCCTTGGTATGCCTCAACTTCTTGCAATATTCATAGATGACATCATTAGACTTCTTAGTAGTAGGATGCTTGCTGCCACTTGGCCTAGGCTTAGAGGACATAAAGGAAAAGTGCTCAATCACAGAGGGTGCATCATGACTGCCCTTCTACTTTCTTCCCCTTGCTCAAGAGAAAAAGCAATAGCTAGAGAGACAATATCCACACTTAGAATATGTCACCTAGTGAAATCAAACTCCGGATTCGGGCCAACTGTAAAGTCAATGACCCTATTCTACTCAACATCTGTATGATCCTTCCACTCAAAAGTTTTCAAGTGATCCATTTCTTCTCAAATATTGTAGAGAGGAGAAATACATAGTCACTATTCTCTCCCCCTGATGCATAGTACAAGCTTTTCTCCTAAGTTGATGTATTCTAGAAGTATTGTTAACTGTTAGTAAGTGGCAACAACCTTGTCCCCAATATCTTTAGCAGTCGAGAGAAGCATGTAGTTATGAGCAATGTGCGGTTGCATTGAACAAACCAACCAAGACATTACTAGTGAGTTATCCTATTCCCACTTTGCAAACTTAGGGTTTTCAATTTTCGGCTTCACCTCTTTGCCTGTAATGAATCCCAACTTACCTCTCCATGTGATAGTAAGTTTAGCCGATTGGGTCCACTCCAGAAAATTGGTCCCATTGAGTTTTACAATTGTTATCATACCACAGGAAACATCAACATTTCCAGGAAACACATTGGAACCCATTTGTACATCTTTTGGTGATTCCATACCTCATAAACAACTATTTCGGCAAGCAAGGAGCACCCCAGCATCCAACCAAAATACAAACAAACCCAAAAGGAAGGGTCAAACTCGGTTAGCGGTAAAATAAAGGGAGACGAAAACTCCCAAAAATTTTTTAAGGTTCAAAATACTCGACCACTTCTCGTCATTCCCAAAATATAAAACGTCCTCGAAGAACTAGGTTTTGCAGAATAAAAAACCCATCAAACAAGAGAAACAAGCCTCTAAACCAGATATGGAATTTCTGCGATTTTTAGCTTGAAAAATCCACAAAAAAAATCAAGGTGAATCCAACCATACAATTTTTAGAGATTGTCCCCGCTACTTGTACGGATTGCTGATGTCATCAGGCGAAAGTTTGACGTCAGAAGCTCACCCTCCAGGCAAAAACCAATAGAAAAAGACTCTCCCATGACCTTCTAGTTGCTCCGATACCAAGTTACAATATCTAGGTTTTGTTGAGAAAGAAAACAAGAACAAGAAAAAGAGAGAAGAGAAGAGAAGAGAAAGGTTCAAAAGGAGAAGAGAGATTTACTGTTCACTCTCTCAAACTTAGGATTTTATACTATTGAGGGATATTACAAGTAAGCCCTTGCACCCAAACAATCTCAATAGTAAGTAATATAAAAAGGTGATGTTACTTTTAATTTGATGCATACTGATGTTTGGGGCTCATATTCTATTCCTTGCATGGGTGGATATAAATACTTTATCTTGTTCGTTGATGATTTTTCTCAGTACACCTAGCTTTATTTGAGGAAGAGTAAAGATGAGGTTCCCTCCATTGTTTAGAATTTCTTTAGAATGATGGAAACTCAATTTAAGAACATCAAAATAATAAGGTTTGACAATGCTAAGGAGTACTTTGAAAAGCTTTTACGACTGTTCCTTGAAGAAAAGGAGCAATAATCAAAGCTCATGTCCCCATACTCTACAATAGAATGGTGTAGCAGAGAGGAAAAATAGACATGTGGTTGAAGTTGTTAGAGTGTTACTCTTTTAGATGCATGTGCTCACTTGGTCCTAGGGAGATATAGTTGAAGCAATGGCGTTTCTTATTAATAGATTTCCTTTATGGACTCTTCACCTCCAATCTCTTCAGCAGCTTCTTTTCCCTAATGATCATATTATCTGTCTTCATCTTATAGTCTTTGGTTGTAGCTGATTTGTTCATGACTTGAGTCCTCGCCTCAAACTCGACCTCAAGTCCATTAGGCATGGTTTTGGGGTTACTCAGTCCAAAAGGAGTACAAGTGTTTTGATCCTCACTTTGGCTGACAGTATGTGTCTAAGGATGTTACATTTCTTCAGTCAACTTCGTTCTTTCAATCACCTCGTGAAGATTTGAACTACAATAGGTCAATGAAGATTTTATTCCATCTTGTCTTCCTGTTCCTATCTTTGTGGATATTCCTAGTTCATCTTCTTCACTTCCCACTTGCAGTGATAGTATTCTTGCTCATCCTCCCCCTATTCCTTAGCAATGGTTCATAAGGCACAAATGGAAGGTTACTTGTGAGGCTGAGGTAATTTTAAAAGCAACTCTGAATTTGAGACTCTTGTTAACTCTGAACTTCCTATTCCTACTTTTACTGAACCTTATATCTCACAACTTGACCTTGACCTATTGTAGTTCAAAAAGGAAAAAGGAAATGCACTGCCTATCCCATCACTATGTGTCTTATGATGCCCTTTCATATTTCTATTATGCCTATCCCCCATCCTTTATTTCTCTTCCTTGTAATGTTACAGATGCAGTGCAGTCCCCTCAGTGCAAGGATGCTATGAACCAAGAAATGAAGGACCTCATAAAGTTCTAGTGGGTTGCATGTGGGTGTATATAGTTAAACACCGGATTGATGGCTCACATGAAAGATACAAAAAAAAGACCAAAAAGCCCCTTATACTTTTTCGACAGTACATTCAACCTTAAATCATCAATCAACATGAAATTTGTCATAAAAAATACCTATTTTGAACAATATAAATTTGCCTTGTTAGAAAAGGAAAAGCTATAATGTCGAAAAGACACGATACTGAATTGCTTAGACCAATCAAAACGCCCCATGGATTTTGATAAAACCCAGCTGATTAGTTACCAGTTTTATGATGCCGGTTGATTGGCATAAGTTTTTCCTGTATGACGTCTTTCCAGCATCATAGTTGAAAACATTAAAAAAAATAGTTTTGAAGACCATCTATATTAGATTTTAGTAATGCTTTATTTTCAAATTTCTGGTGGATGACATCAATCTATACTTTTAGAAATCTATTAGAAATTGTCATGCAGAAAAGTTCTCTCTAGTTTTCTGTAATTTCCACCTTTCCTTTTCTTTCAATTTTTCTGACTGTCCTTGTGCCCAAGTTGCTAAATTAGCCCCAACTCAGTAAGTCTGAGCTTATTTTCACCGTAATTAATGCATCAGACTTTTGCTTAATGTTCAGGTATACAATATTTGCAACTCATATGGAAAACCTATCTGAGCTAGCAACTATCTACCCAAATGTGAAAATTCTTCATTTTCATGTTGATGTCAAAAACAACCGTTTAGATTTCAAGGTGGCTGTTCTAAATTTGTTTAATTGGAAACATTAAATATTTGTGATTCTTTCATTTACTGAAAAATCGGTTCTGTTAGTAGTTCCAACTCAAAGATGGCCTAAGACAAGTGCCACACTATGGCCTCCTATTGGCTGGAGTTGCTGGATTGCCAAGCTCAGTAATTGAAACAGCAAGAAATATCACATCAAAGATCAAAGAGAAGGTAACCTCTTTTTTACGGTAGAAAGTTAAATTAAAATATGAAACGGAAGAAACATTATATGCGAGATTAGATGTTTATTGTTTTAAATGTAGAATGTTTAATCAAGAAAACGTTTGGTTGGATATGCTGGAAATATATATTACATTCCAATAATAGTGCTCTTTACTGTCCAATAAGCTTGGCATGGGCATTAGTTGGGCATTAGATATTGATGATAGGGTAGACCCTAGTACTATTATCACATATGATATTATTGTCACAAGGTTTATCATGTTTTCGCTTGCCCATGTCTTTTGACTGTTATTCTGTAAAAGTATTTACCATTTGACAAAGTCTATGGTTAACATATGATTTGTCTAGTTCTAGTTGGTTTATTTCTTAAGTTTCAAAGTCATTGAATGAGTAGTTTAAGAGTTTGCTTTATTTGAATTGAAATTGGTAATGGCAATTCGGCAATTTTCTTTTCTTTTTCTTTTTTTTTTTTGTGTGTCCTACTAGGATTCTTGTGAGTCTACAGTCTGTAAATAAGTATGGACATTTTACACAAAGATCATTGATGTTTATCTGGATTGTTATAGATTATGCTATTTGGTGAGTGATTCCCATGCCTTAGATAATTCCATGAGTGAGTTTGCATTATTGTCTCTCTTCTTTCTCTTTCTATTTTTTCTGGATCCTTTAAGAAACCATTACATCTATTAACAACCATAAATTTTTATATCAAAAGACGGCCTTTCAACATTCTCAAAGGACTGGAATTGATCTAAGTGAGTTTTCTTCTTTTTGCATAAAAAAACCCACAATGTTCCATTCTATTTGTTTTCATCCTTTCTGCCAAACATATTCTGAACCTAACCTAGCAGAACTGGGTTGCCGTCTACACAGAGATTTAAAAGGCGTGCCTAGGCGCACAAGCAAGGCACATTTTAGGGTATGTGCCTCGCCTAGGTCCCAGGCACACAGTTTTCAAAAGGCGCACGCCTAGTGCGCCTAGGCATGCACCCGGTACACCTTGTGCCTTGCCTTGAGGGTTTTGGTACAGAGGCGACTCATAGAATCAGGAATGCATAATGTTTAACATTACATTAGCTTTTCGAAATAATGCAATTGGGAAAAAAGTAAAGAGATTAAGAGTTTACATGCTTGAATATGTTTTATATGTTGTGCTTGATTTTATTTTTACACTTTTTGTTTTAAATATGTTTTACATGTCATGTTTATGTATTTTAATATGAGATTATAGGTTTTTTTAAAGCAATAAAGTTTTTTTAATTGGCAAAATCAGTGACATTTACAAAATAATTTTCAAATCGGTGAGTGGGAAAGAACTATTATTTTATTGGATAATATTACCCCTTAAAGTAAATGAAAAGTGAGAGGCCTTTGACCCTACGTTTTACTTCTTCTCTCATGCCTCTTGACAGCCAAGAGGCTCACGCTATTGAATCTTATTGTGACTTGTAAGCGTTAATCTCAACTGTTAAGTTTGAACTCCATGGATTGAATTAAGAGTTTAGTGGAGCTACATGCTGGTAGGCTAGAATGTTGGCATTCTGAGAATTTGAAACCCTGACTAAAGAGAGAAGAGTACTGAACTTGTTAGTGGTGTTGTCATTCTTAAATGAGAAGTGGACTCTAACGATGCAATGGAATGGGAAAGAATACATAGTAAGAGTTTTTGGAGACATGTTGAAGAGATGAAGTGGTGATCTGCGAACTCATGAACTTTTAGATGTTTCTATTCAAAGAGCCAAAGATTCTCCACCCAAAAAGGTCGGTCCCAAACTTGTGGATGATTTCGTTCTTCTTGCTGAACTTCCCCCCTGCCTATTTAAGCTAGTCTGCTAGCCAAATAATATGTAATAAGTGGGTTAGCTAGTCTGCTAGCCAAATCATTAAAACTATAAAAAAGTATCTCGTATGGGAGTTCCCTCTCTTTATGTGGGGAGTTCTCTCTCTTTAAGTGGGGAGTTCCCTCTCTTTAAGTGGGAGGGACAGGTGTCCTTCACCTAGGAGGAGGTAGTTACATAACTACCCCACTCCCTATTTAAGCTCCTTAAGGGGAAGCTAGAAGCACAGACAGAGAGACTCTTCGGAGAAAATTTTCACAAGAGATTCTTAAGAAAAGCAAAGATAAGGAGAGAAGAAAAGTCCTCTCTGTAAATACTTCTTATTTATGTCTTCTGCTACATATCCTTCTCTTTCTCTCTTTTGTTTTTTACTTTGGAGAAAGGAAATAGAACGAAATAAACCATCTACAACCAGGTGCCTCTACTTGGTTGATTATGGTCCCTCTTTCAAGACTGTAGAGAACACTGATGTGGGCCTCACAGCTGTGGTCCCACTCTGTCCGTAGGGTAGAATGTGCCCTAGTCATCCTAGGGTTAGCTGATGGTCTATCTGTTATTCCAGTTGTTATTTATATTTCAGTTTTATATTGTTTTATGTGTTATGTAAATACCAAGGGCAGATTTGTCCTTTCATGTAATAAGCATAACCTATAAATACCAAATAGAAGTGGCGGCGGCAGAACATTCAAATTCTGTCCTTCCTTTCAATTCTTGTGTTCTACTTCTCTCTCTCTACTCTTTCTCTTCTCTCCTCTATACTTTTTTCTCCTTTTTCGAACCTGAAATCGGTTAGGGTTCCAGGCTGATAGCAGTCTTGAACATCTACTTGGTATCAGAGCAAGGTTAGGGTTTCTCATGTGAGTCTAGTCTAGCCGACCACATGAGAATCCCCTAGGACTGGAAGCTGAGAAAGTGGAGTTCGTGGACTGATTCTTGGAGATCGCCAGAGGGTTTAGCAGCTGTTGAAGACTTGTCACGGTTGCAAAGTGTTGGTGATCAGGAAAGAATCAGAGAAGACTAAGGTTTGGGTAACCTTGGAAGGCAGCGAACCGTTTTTTCTTGTAAGTTATCTATTTTCTAAGAGAAGTACTATCAAAGAGGATAGGTTGGACCTATCTGGAAAGGGCGGCCGAACCATTCTAGGGTTTTCTCCCTTATATTCTCTAGGGTTTTACAGCAAACCCTACTGTTGGGCCGAACTGCCTTAGGGTTTGAAAGTGATCTTGCGGCAAACCCTAATAAGCTTGCGGCAAGCCCTAATGTTAGACTGAACCTTGCGATCTACCTGGAGTTGTCCTCAAGTTTGTTAGCATTGATCAACTTTTAGGGTTTCATATTAACCCTACTGCATGTCTATCTGTATGGTACTGATTGGAATGTGCAACTGAAATGTTTTCTTTAAGGACTGATTAAAACCCTAATTCTGCCAAGCATATCAGACCTGCTTCTAAGCTGATTTTTCAGATCTTTTTGGGGTTTCCGAACTCTCTTAAGGGGTGAGAACTGTTCGGACTACTACTGTTGTGTTTGCTAGTTGGTTTCAGATCAGATTTATACCTGTTTTGTGCACATACACTGTGAATACAGATTGGTCCTACACTGTTTTGATTGTGATTGGTAGTCCAAGTGTTGTTTTTGAGACTTGATCGAGATGGAGTTTAAAAATCAGGCAGAAGGCAGTTTTGGGAACAACAGTTATGGTAGTGTTTCTGAGACAGGTGGTCAGATTACAACCGTAAAGTTTGATGGATCAAACTATTTGGAATGGGCCCAATCAGCCGTGATGGCTATTGGGGGAAGAGGTAAATTAGGGTACCTCTTGGGAGATGTGAAAGAACCTCCCAAGGGAGACCCTACGTATACCAAGTGGATCCAAGAAAACTACTTGGTTATGACATGGCTGTGTAATTCTATGCAGCCTCATATTAGCCGAAGTTACTTGTGGGCAAAGACAGCTAAGGAGATATGGGATGTTACGAAAGAAACCTATTCTCAACCCCTTAATGTTGCCAGAGCATATGAGTTGAAATGTGAAGTGAAAAACCTTAAACAAGGAGAGAAACTGATTTCAGTATACTTCTCTACCTTGCAGTCTCTATGGCGTGAGATTGATCACTTAGAGACTCTTGAGTGGGAGAGTCCCAAAGATGCACAGATATATAGAAAGCAGGTCGAGACAAACCGGGTGTTTGAATTTCTGGCGGACCTAAATTCAGAGTATGATATTGTGCGGCAATAGATTTTGACTAGAGACAGTGTGACTCTCTCTCAGGCATACTCCTTAGTACATAGTGAAGAGACTAGAAGAAAAGTTATGATGCAACCTCAGCCTCTCACACCAGCCTTTGTAGCTGTCAAACCCAAATCAGGGGGTGATTCAGAGAAGGACAGGAGGAAGGAAGACAAAAAGGATGTGGTATGTGAACATTGTAAGAAACCCAAACATACAAAAGAAACATGTTGGAAACTGCATCCTCACTTGGTTCCGGCAAAGTTGAGAAGCAAGAAGGGCAATGCTCATGTGGTCGTGAACACTGATTCAGCATCCTCATCTGGAACAAGAGGAACATCTTTAGAGAACTTATCTGCAGTTCGGGCTGCCTTAATATAGTTAGAAAAGGAAGTTGGAAGTTCAGCTCAGCCATCGCAGTCACCTTCAGCTCCTCCCACATCTGCCTTCGCACATTCAGGTACTCGAGCTTCAGCCTACCATGCCTCGGCTCCAAGTACTACTAAACATTGTTGGGTAATAGATTCAGGTGCATCCGATCACATGACTAGTTTGCCTTCACTGTTTACCACTTACCATTTGTCTTCGGGTAGGGATAAAGTATCTATTGCTGATGGCTCCCTGGTCCCTATTTCTGGGAAGGGTGA